CTTTGAGCAGGGGGTTGGACTAGGTGACCTCCTGAGGTGTCCCTTCCAACCCTGATATTCTATGATTCTATCATGGTACCCTATGGACACTGAGCCTGGGGGGCTCAGGAGCTTCTCCATGTCCTGGCACCAGCGCCCAAGCAGCCTGACCAGGATCACACGCGCTCCCAGGGGCTGGCACGCGACCCCGCCCCCCGCGCCTGGCCCCCATTCCCTAGCGCCCGAGGATGCCCCCTCCAAGGCAGGCGCCCGGCCCTCACCTTGCGTTCGATGGGCGGCTGATCATGCTCCAGCCCGTACCAGCTCACCAGCTTGTTCCACACGTCCTCGGGCACCAGCACATACTCCTCGGACTCCACCAGCCGCTCCTTCAGCCGGAACGACTCCAGGTCTTGGGGGGCAGGGGAAAGGTTACCCAGTCGGGGCAGCACCAAGAGCCAACTTGCTATTGCAGGCTACCAGAATGACGACGTTCTCTATACCCCAGGGAATTCACCTCTGGAACTCACTGCTACGGGACAGCAAACCTCGCTCCCCTGCCAGTGCCCGGTGAGAACCCAGGCATCCTGGCTCCCAGCCACACCCTGCTCTAATCACTAGACCCCACTCCCCTCCCAGAGCCAGGAAAGGACCCAGGCATCCTAGCCCTGCATCCTCTGTGCTCTAAACCACTAGATTCCACTCCCCTCCACTCCCAGAGCCGGGGAGAGAACCCAGGTGTCCTGGCTCCCAGCCTGGTGGTCAGGTACCTTCAAAGAGCTCCGAGTTGTTGATGTGCCCAGGGAAGGAGCTGGAGTTCTGGTCACCCGATTCCACATACTCCTTCCACTGCTGGTACCAATGATTCTCCAGCAGGTACCTGCGGGGGGGAGGGATGGACCCAGCAGCAGCTCAGCCCCGCCCCAGATGCCTGCAGCCCCCCCGCTCCCCTGGGGCTACACCTAGGCCACTGTTTAATCTTATGCCAACACACCCACCAACCCCCCTGCCCTTGTTCCCTTTTTGCCACCTAATCTGCCCTGCTCGGCCCTGCCCCCCCCACCATGATTGTCCCCCCCAGATCCTCCTGCCAGAGCCAAGGGAGCAAGCGGGGGAGGGGGGCTCTTCACATCGCTCCCACCAGGAAAGAATGAACCCAGGCATTATGGCCAATCCCTAACCAGAGAAAGTCTTCTCCGTCCCAGCTGGGTTCAGGATTCTCTCTTTTCCTTTATCAAATTGCTGTCCCTCATTATGTGCAGCTGTTGTCACACCCCCCCCCCCAGAGGTGGCTGCATCTCAACACCGGGCGAGCCATCTGTGTGCACCCTTATGTACAGCTGTTCCCCAGCTGCCCCACCCCAGAGGTGGCTGCATCTCAGCCCAGGGGGGACAATCATTTGCAGATGAGTCAGTAAACTCTTGCTGCCGGGGAAAGTCCTAACTTTGCTTCCTGGGGAGTCCAGGATTCAGGGACGGGACTTCCCAGTTCTGTGGTGACATCAGCTACTTCTGATTTTCACTCCCTCCCTTGCTGGGACTGTCCCAGGACAGCTCTGTCTGGCTGCAACCTACTTCCTAGCAGGGCTCCTACACTGGGGAAACGCCACATGGGGACGGATCACCCATGCTGAGATGCAGCCACCTCGAGGGTGGGGCAACTGGAGAACACCACACAGCAAGGCTGTGGGACCGCTCTGAACCGTGAGCTGGACAATTAACTGGCCTCAACTGTAACCTTCTGGGGGAGGGAGGGTGCGAGCGGAGCTGGGGTTTGCCCACGACGCTGGGGTCCACACCTGACTCTGTGGGACGAGCCCCACGGCCGAAAAGGGGCCAGGAGGCTGGTCAGCCACTGGCTGGGGTAACCAGTGGGGTCAAGGCGGGAGGCAGCGGGCAGCCAGCTTCCTCGGGGCATAAGGATAGGGGATCCCAGTGATAGTAGGCTTGGGGGATTCTCTGGGGGATATAGGGGTCAGAGAACCCACAAGCATCTCAGGTAAGCTGGCATCTTCCCCCTCCCCCCATCTCTGGTCCTTCCCAAGGGTGGAAGGACCATTATGGTGGCCATGGGGGCAAGTCCCCAAACCCAACCTCCCCCCCATGGCAGCCCCTTCTCCCACCCCCCCGCCCAAACAGACAGAATCCAGGACTCACCAGCCTCCTCCCCACCCTAACTCCTCCCTTCCACAGCCGGGTCCCCCCGGGGCCTCCTCCAACCGCTCCCCACCATCACCCCCTTCCCGCCCGCTCCTCCCCTACTCCCTTCTCTTTCCCCCTCCCCCGCCACTAGCCCCCCTCCCCACAGCCACCCCCTCCCAGGCTCCTCCCCCTGTCACTAGCCCCCCTTCCCCGCCACTAGCCCCCCTCCCCGGCTCCTCCCCCGCTCCCTTCTCTTTCCCCCTCCCCTGTCACTAGGCCCCCTCCCCACCCCCACAGGCCCTTCCTCCGCCACTAGCCCCCCTCCTCACAGCCACCCCCTCCCAGGCTCCTCCCCCTGTCACTAGCCCCCCTCCCCCACCACTAGCCCCCCTCCCCACCCCCACAGGCCCTTCCTCCGCCACTAGCCCCCCTCCTCACAGCCACCCCCTCCCAGACTCCTCCCCCCGGTCACTAGCCCCCCTCCCCCCGCCACTAGCCCCCCTCCACACCCCCACAGGCCCTTCCTCCGCCACTAGCCCCCCTCCCTCACAGCCACCCCCCTCCCAGGCTCCTCCCCCTGTCACTAGCCCCCCTCCCCCGCCACTAGCCCCCCTCCACACCCCCACAGGCCCTTCCTCCGCCACTAGCCCCCCTCCTCACAGCCACCCCCTCCCAGGCTCCTCCCCCTGTCACTAGCCCCCCTCCCCCGCCACTAGCCCCCCTCCCCCGGCTCCTCCCCCGCTCCCTTCTCTTTCCCCCTCCCCTGTCACTAGCCCCCTCCCCCCACCCCCACAAGCCCTTCCTCCGCCACTAGCCCCCCTCCCCACAGCCACCCCCTCCCAGGCTCCTCCCCCTGTCACTAGCCCCCCTTCCCCGCCACTAGCCCCCCTCCCCGGCTCCTCCCCCGCTCCCTTCTCTTTCCCCCTCCCCTGTCACTAGGCCCCCTCCCCACCCCCCACAGGCCCTTCCTCCGCCACTAGCCCCCCTCCTCACAGCCACCCCCTCCCAGGCTCCTCCCCCTGTCACTAGCCCCCCTCCCCCCACCACTAGCCCCCCTCCCCACCCCCACAGGCCCTTCCTCCGCCACTAGCCCCCCTCCTCACAGCCACCCCCTCCCAGGCTCCTCCCCCTGTCACTAGCCCCCCTCCCCCCGCCACTAGCCCCCCTCCACACCCCCACAGGCCCTTCCTCCGCCACTAGCCCCCCTCCTCACAGCCACCCCCTCCCAGGCTCCTCCCCCTGTCACTAGCCCCCCTCCCCCGCCACTAGCCCCCCTCCCCGGCTCCTCCCCCGCTCCCTTCTCTTTCCCCCTCCCCTGTCACTAGCCCCCCTCCCCCACCCCCCACAAGCCCTTCCTCCGCCACTAGCCCCCCCTCCTCACAGCCACCCCCTCCCAGGCTCCTCCCCCTGTCACTAGCCCCCTCCCCCGCCACTAGCCCCCCTCCCCACCCCCCACAGGCCCTTCCTCCGCCACTAGCCCCCCTCCTCACAGCCACCCCCTCCCAGGCTCCTCCCCCTGTCACTAGCCCCCTCCCCCCGCCACTAGCCCCCCTCCACACCCCCACAGGCCCTTCCTCCGCCACTAGCCCCCCTCCTCACAGCCACCCCCTCCCAGGCTCCTCCCCCTGTCACTAGCCCCCCTCCCCCCGCCACTAGCCCCCCTCCACACCCCCACAGGCCCTTCCTCCGCCACTAGCCCCCCTCCCCGGCTCCTCCCCCGCTCCCTTCTCTTTCCCCCTCCCCTGTCACTAGCCCCCCTCCCCCGCCACTAGCCCCCTCCCCACCCCCACAGGCCCTTCCTCCGCCACTAGCCCCCCCTCCTCACAGCCACCCCCTCCCAGGCTCCTCCCCCTGTCACTAGCCCCCCTCCCCACAGCACCCCTGGCCCCGCCCCTCACCATCGCTCCCCCGCCCGCAGGCCGCGCTGCTCCGCCGCCTCCACCTCGCGCCGCTGGGCCTCGAGTCCCGGCACCCCCCCTGCCGCCGCCATGGCCCGCGCCCCGCCCCCACCCGCCGGCCCGACCGGAAACAGGAAGCGGCGACGCTGGGGACCCTCCCCCTTCCCTGCGCCGTCACCGCCCCCTGAGGCCTCGCTCACCTGCTTCCGGCCGGCGCCATCTTGGGTGCGGCGCACGGGCAAGGGCCCAGGATCCGCCATCTTGGAAGCGGCTAAAAGGGAAGGGACCCTCGTAGCTTTTAATCCGCCATTTTGAGTGTGGCACCGCATGGTAAGGCCCAGTCGGCCATACTGAGTGTGATGCACCGCCACGTCGAGAGCGGCAGGCGGGAGCGGAGCACGCCTTCCCCAGAAAGCCGGAGCCCCCTGCACCGCCATCTTGGTGGTGGCAAAAGTCGCCGGCAGAGACGCCATGTTTGGTGTGGCATAAAACAGACCACATGGGTCACAGGTCTGGCGGGTTAAAGCGGGGTGGGGGGGCTCGGAGCCCGGACACCTGGGTTCTCTCCCCAGCTCTGGGAGGGGAGTGGGGTCTAGTGGTTAGAGCAGGGGGCTGGGAGCCGGCACTCCTGGGTTCTCTCTCTGGCTCTGGCAGAGGGGCGTGGGGTCTAGTGGTTAGAGCACGGGAGAAGGAGCCAGACACCTGGGTTCTATTCTGCCACCTGGGTTTTTAATAACTTCCAGCAAAGCACATAACCCATGGGCTCACAGGTGTGGGCCTGGGCCACAGGATATCAAGCTCCATGGGCCTATGGCTCTGATGGGGGGCCTGAGGAGCTACTGAGCTGCATGGGCCCGTGGGTCTGATCCCAAGGCAGGCGACCCACAGCTTGGATTCAGCAAGTGGGGGGTGGGTCCATAGTTAGGATCCACCATCCACTCCCCCCATCTGCAGGGTGAATGAAGACGCAGGACGCCTGGGTTCCATGGAGACTTTAATAATTTCCATACATTGAGTGCAGAACAGTCTCTCACCCCAGACAAAAAACGAGGGAGGCTCCGTCTCCCACGCAGCTCAGATACAGCCCTCCCCCCTCAAACATTGATATGTATAGGCAGGTTAACCCTTTGCCTGCTGAGCCAAACCCCCCTGTCACAGAGACTCCACCTCCATCTACAGGGCTGGGGAGGACACAGCTGGCAGGGGAGGGGGCTCTGTCCCTACTGAATCCACTCTGGACCACTGCAGGGCCCCCCAGGCATGGAAATCCAGTCCAGCGTCCCCCTTTCCATGCACAGATCTACTCTGGCAACCTCCTCCTCCCTGCCCAGGGATCCTCTGAGATCCCCTACTCTCCAAGATCCCTCTTTCCTCCACCTATATGGATCCATTATGGGATCACCTTCCTCTGCACGCAGGGATCCAACTCTAGGATCCCTCCCTCCTCCCCACCAGGGATCTGGTCTTAGCCCTGCCCCCTCATCTCCAGTCCAGGATCCCACCCTCCTACTCATGAAGGGATCTGATGTGGGATTCCTCCTCCATGCAGGGTTCACAGCTGAGATCCCTCCCTCTTCTGTGCACAGGGATCCAGTTCCCCCCAGTAAAACCCACCACCTGCCAGGAATGGATCCCAGACCAAACCCACCCACTGACCCACCCCACTGGCACCGCCCCTACCACAGCATCTCGCTGACACTCCCCAGGCCCCAGTCCTGCCAGGTGCCCAGCAGAGAAAGAGAAAACAGACACCACCCCGCCCAGGGACTCTCACTTCGACACCTTCAGTCTTATGGGTCAGAGCAGGGGGGCAGAGGGGGGAACAGGGGAATGGGGGGGGACCATTGTGATCCACGAGGAGAGCTGGCTACATCTCAGCGCCGGCCGAGCCTTCCTCATGCAGCATTACGGGAGGCCGTTCCCCGCTGCCCCGCCCCAGAGGTGGCTGCAGCTCAGCTGGGGGGGGTATTGTCATTTTTATTACTATGGGTATGGCTCTTCCAAGGAAAGACATTCCATCCCACAAGCATTACATGCTGCATATAAAAAAGGCTAGATATGTACATATATACACACACACAATATAGAGAGAGAGAGATGGAGGGGGCGCACTGCCTGGGGGATATAGGGTCCGCCTTTAAACTGACACTCCCACAGCAGGGTTCCAACCCCCGGCCTTTACCCCTGAGTTAAAGGCTTGGCCCTTCCAACTGCAGTTGATCCTTCCTAGCCACTAGGGGGAGCCAGGAGCACACAGAGCCCTCTGGGCGGGACAGCCTGGCCGGGGTCCATCAAGGAGTACGGGGCAGGGGGCTGCAGGATGGAGCTGGAAGGGGATGCAGGATCCAATCCTGAGCAGTGCTGGACTAGAGCAGGGACAAGGAGGGATTTGCCTGAGTAACGAGTAAGGACAGAGTAGTAGCTGAGTAGTGTTTGATTAAGGACTGAGTATCCACAACTGAGCAGGTGCTGGAAAGGGACCGAGTAACATGTGAGTAAGGAAGGAGTAGCAAATCAACTAAGCCAAAGTAAGGGCTAGGTGTGGACCAAGTAACATTTGATTCAGGTCTGAGTAAGGATTTAATAACTTTTGAGTAAAAATAAGTAATATCTAAGGGTAAGACTGTCTAGGGACTGAGTAACATTTGAGAAACAATGGAGTAGTGTTTCAGTACGGACCAAGTAGTGTTTGAGTAAGGTGGTAGTAACATTTTAGTACGGTCAGATTACTCTGAGTAAGGACTAAACAACAACTAAATTGGGACTGTAAGGATGGAGTACTGTTTGGGGAAGGACCAAGTAACAGTTGCATTAGGGCTGGTAACATCTAAGATAAGACTTATCGGGGCGGAGCAGCATTTGAGTAAAGACAGAGCAATATCTAGGCTAAGACTGAGAAGGGCTGGGTAGGGACTCACAGCTGAGTACCGGCAGGGTAACAGGAGTAGGGATGGAGTAAATCCAGAGCAGTGACTGAGTAACATGTCTGGCCAGAGTAACATTGGACTGAAGACTGGGTAAAAACTAAAACCAGATCAAGTAGGGGCTGGCCGTGTATCATACGAGTAAACGCCTAGGACTGGATGGGCTGCCCGGGCCAGTAGTTCCAGTCGCAGCTAGTGTTGCTACCCCGGGAGCTCAGGCGCATCCTGTCCTGAGTCAGCAAGAGCATCCCACTAGCCAGGGTGTCTGCCCCTCACTGCTGCTCCAGCCCCTCCTTGTCCTCCCCATGGATTTACGGAGAGACCGGGGGGCCCACCTCAGCCTGCATGGTCTACAACACAGGTGGCCAGCGCTGGGCCCAGGCTCTGTCTGCGATGGAAATTCCTCATTTTCACGGCTGTGGTACCCTGGGGGTTCAGCGTCACCCTGGGAGCGGCCTGCATGCCCAGGTCAAAATTCTTCCTACTCCCCCTCGCTGTGGCCTAGTGAATTTCATTTCTGTTACTTCAGATCACCCCATGATACTCGGACCCCCTTCTGGATTTATGGAGTAAGGACCAAGTAATGTGTGAGCAACCAGCTCAGGACAGAGTAAAGCTCAAGTAAGGATGGAGTAATGTCTGAATAAAGACTGTCAGGTTTGAACAGGGACTGGAGTAACAGGTGAGTGGACCTCAGTAACCACAGAATAATGTTCGAGGGAAGGCAGAACAGGCCAAGTAACACCTGAGCATGGAATAAGCACTGAGTAGAGAGTAACAGTCGAGTAGGGGCTGAGTTAGGAGTGAGAGGATGTGGAGTAACACCTGAATAAGGACTAAGTATTGACTAAGGACGGGAGCAAGGACTGAGCAGAGAGTCTGGGAAGTGACTGAGGAGGGGCTGAGCCAGGAGCATCCTAGGGGCTGACTACAGCTTTTACTTGTGTAACAGCTGAGGAGGGAACCGAGTAAGATCTCAGGAGTGGTTGAGTGAGAGCTGAGTAACATTTGAATAGGAGCCAAATAAGGCACCAAGGGACTGTGTAAGATTTGACTAGGGGTTGAGTAGGGGCCAAGTAAGAGCTGAACAAGATGTGAGTAGGAGCCAAGTAACATTTGTGTAAGGACTGAATGAGGTTAAGTATCATCTGAGTAGGGGTAAAGTAAGGGCTGAGTAATATGGGAGTATACACAGTATTGTGTGAGTAGGACCTGAGTAAGGGACTGAGTAACATGGGAGTGGGGAAGAGTTACATGGGAGTTGGAGGAGAGTGTCATGAGAATAGGGGTAGAGTAACATGAGTGGGGCAGAGTAAGGGCTGAGCAACTTGAGAGTAGGAGCTGAGTAAGATGGAAGTAGGGTCAGAGTAAGGGCTGAGTAACATGGAAATAGGGACAGAGTAAGGGCCAAGTACTGTAGGAGTAAGGGCTGAGTAACACAGAAACAGGGCTAGACTAAGGACTGAGTAACATGGGAGTAGTAGCTGAGTAACAGGGGAGTAGGGGCAGACTAAGGGCCAAGTACCAAAAGTAAGGACTGGGAGAAAGGTGCAGCTGGCCCCACGTGAGCCCTGAGTACTAAGTGGGGAAGGGGAGCTGGCAGCCGCCCCACTGAACTCACTGGCGTCAGCCAGTGTTCACCCCACATGCCGACCCAGCAGGACGTGGGGGCGGAGCTAAGCCCTGCAGGAAGGGGACATGCTGGGGTTTGGGGAGGGAAGGGGACTCCCCAGGGACACATCACTCGAATGCGGAGGGGTTGCAGACTGTCGGGCACCCCACATACACTGCTGCAAAGGGACCTACCACATCTGGGGTACACCCCCCCGCCCATTCACACGTCTGCAACAGCAGCCACCCCCCAGTCCCACCATATCTGGAAGACTTCTGTCCCCACAGCTCAGCGGGTGTTGGGTGGCAGGAGAGGAGGATTTAGGGTGGGGGCGAGTGACAGAATATAACCCCCTGGATTAACCCCCCACCAGGCAACCTGGGGGGTACAGAAGGGGTTGTGGCCCCCTCCCCCACAGAGGGGGCAGAATCAAACATCTCCATGGAAACATAACTCCGGGGGGCTGCCCCCCCCCATGCCCATCCCTCCCGGCGAGGGGGGGGGGGGGCTATAGATTATTTCTCTATATTTATAATATTGCCTTGAAAAAATAAAACTTAAACAACATGGGGGGGGCATCTGCCGTCCAGCCGGCGCCACCCCCCCCAGAAGGGGATCGGGCCCCTCCAGCCCCAGGGCACGGCCCGAGTCCCATCCCCGAAGGCGGCGTCCAACCCAAAGGGGCAGAGTCCCAGCTGGGGGCGGGGGGGCGGGTTTATGTCAGGCCAGCCCCTGCCCCTCCCACGTCACTGTGGCTCGGCAGGGTCACAACAATAAGCTGGGCCGTCGGTTCTGCCCGTTCACTGTGGGGGGGAGCAAAAGGATTAAAGAGAGACAGCGGCCTCCCCACCGCTGCTGGGATTCCCCCCACACTGCCCCCCATCCATCCCCAGCCTATGCCCCCCATGCCGCCCATCCTGCTACAGCCAATACAGTGCCCGTGGGGCGGGTGTGTATTGGGGGTGATAAGGAGCAGGGTGCCCCATGTGCTCCCAGCTGGGGGAGGAGGTCCGGATGAGGAACCTTGAGGGGGGGTGGCGGTGATGGGGGGCCATGCTGAGAGCTGGGGGGGGCCATGGGAGGGGGGATGTGGGGGGGAAGTACCTGACCCGAAGGCTAAAATTCAGTGTCCACTACCCGGAAGGCGGCACCCCCTGCGGGAGAGGAGAGAGTGTTCACTGCGCAGCCGGGGCCTGGGGGAGCAGGGCCGGGGGGGGAGTCTTCACCCCCATCCTGAGCAGGAAGGGCCCTAGCAGGGCTGCGGCAGGTGGTCCCCTCTCCCCCCTGATGGGGGGTCCCAGCTGGGGGTAGGTCAGAGATGAATTAGCTGCCCCCCAGAACAGACCAGTGTCAGCAGTCAGGTGCTGGAGGGCACGTTAAGTCAGGGCAGGGGGGAAGAGGGCTTGGGGAGCATGTCTGTGTGGGCAGAGGGGTCAGCAGGGGGAGTTGTGGGCGGGGTCCCCCCTCAGTCAGACAGGAAGGGGCTGTGGGTGGGTCAGAGGGGTGTTGGGGAGGCTGCGGGGGGGGCCATGTCTCACCTGACTCGGGCAGGGAGGGCCTGTAGGTGGGTCAGGGGGCTGTGGGGGGGGATGTGGGGAGCCATGTCTCACCTTAGTCAGGCAAGGAGGGGCTGTGGGTGGGTTGGGGACTGCAGGGGAGGCTGGGGGGCCATGTCTCACCTGTGTTGGGCAGGGAGGGGCTGTGAGTGGGTCAGTGCGGGGCTGGGGGCCGCAGGGGGCCATGTCTCACCTGAATGGGGCAGGGAGGAGCTGCGGTTGGATCAGGGCATTGTTGGGGGGGGCGACAGCGGGGGCTGGGGGGCCATGTCTCACCTGAGTCAGGCAGGGAAGCTGAGCGCAGCCCCGTCTCCTTCTGTAGCTGAATCTCCTTTAGTGCAAATATGGACGTGGCTGCGGAGACACGGAGAGGGGGCGGTGGCAGAGGGATCACAGGGGGCAGTTACAGCTCCCCACAGCCCTGCCCCCCACTCTGAATTCCCTCAGCTCCGCCCGAGTCTGTACACCCCCAAACCAGCCCCCACCCAACTCATAATGTTCCTCTTTGCCCATCTTAGCGCCACCCGACTCAGCCCCCCTGCCACCTCCAGCACCCCGACCTGCCCTGAGCCCCCCGGCCCTGCCCAACTCAGCCCCCGCCCTCCACCTCCAGCACCCCAACCTGCCCCAAGCCCCCCGGCCCCACCCGACTCAGCCCCCCCGCCACCTCCAGCACCCCGACCTGCCCTGAGCCCCCCGGCCCCGCCCAACTCAGCCCCCGCCCTCCACCTCCAGCACCCCAACCTGCCCCAAGCCCCCCGGCCCCACCCGACTCAGCCCCCCCCGCCACCTCCAGCACCCCGACCTGCCCCGAGCCCCCCGGCCCCGCCCCACTCAGCCCCCCTGCCACCTCCAGCACCCCAACCTGCCCCAAGCCCCCCGGCCCCACCCAACTCAGCGCCACCTCCAGCACCCCAACCTGCCCTGAGCCCCCCCGGCCCTGCCCAACTCAGCCCCCCCGCCACCTCCAGCACCCCAACCTGCCCTGAGCCCCCCGGCCCCGCCCAACTCAGCCCCCGCCCTCCACCTCCAGCACCCCAACCTGCCCCAAGCCCCCCGGCCCCGCCCAACTCAGCCCCCCTGCCACCTCCAGCACCCCGACCTGCCCCAAGCCCCCCGGCCCTGCCCAACTCAGGCCCCCCGCCACCTCCAGCACCCCGACCTGCCCCAAGCCCCCGGCCCCGCCTGACTCAGCCCCCCCTCCACCTCCGGCACCCCAACCTGCCCCGAGCCCCCCCCCGACTCAGCACAACCTCCAGCACCCCGACCTGCGCCAAGCCCCCCACACGGATCACTCACTGTCCGGGAGCTTGGTGACGCGCTCGCCCAGGCAGTGGAAGAAGAGATGCCCCATGGCCTCGGCCGCTGACATCCGCTTCCGCCCCTCGAACTGCCGAGACATGCCCCCCCGGGGGGGGGGGGTGGTCAGAGGTCTGGACACGCCCCAGGGGGCAGACACACCAGCACCCCCGTCACCCCCAAATCCCCCACCCCCGATCCCACGCTACAAGCCAAGGTAACCCGGCCCCTCCGACCCCCCGTCTCTCACCTGCAGCAGTTTGCCCAGCAGGTCGGCTCCATCACTGTCCAGCCTACACGGGGCACATGGGAAATATCAGCCCAAAAGGAGACCCCATAAAACCACAGGGGGATTTACACACACACCCCCGCAGCCCACAGGGAGATCCTACCCCCCTGGTCCTCCCCCCACAGGCCCCAGGAGGATCCAGCCCCCCGGCCCTCCCCTCGCAGCCCCCGGGACTCCCCGCATGCAGCAGCCCCAGGGCTGACCTGGGCGCATGATTGAGCAGGGCCTCGGGCCGGTACTTGGGGTAGTTGTAGGATCGGAACTCCTCGTTGGACAGGATTCCCGGCCACGTCTCCTCATTGGGGGTCCCTGGGTGGAGGGCAGAGGGGATAGGGTGAGAATACGACAGGGCCCCGTGGAGCCCCCCGCCCACCCTCTGCAGCACAGCACCCCCTGCTGAGCCCCCCCCACCCTCCCCTTGCAGCACGGTGATCCCTGCTGAGCCCCCGCCCACCTCCTGAAGTGAGGATGATGTGGGGATTTTCCCTTGTTATGTTGTGTGTGAGCCTCTGTGAGTTTTATTGTTTTGTATGAATACTGTGTGTGCCTCAGTTTCCCTGTGTGTTGCTCCAATGCCTAAGTGGTGGGAATAGGGGTGTGTGACTTTGGCCGAGACCCTTGGGGGGCAGGTGAGGTGGCTCCAGCTGCCTGCAGGTAGGCGATGGCCCATGCCCTTCGTAACCGGAGACCCAGGCGGGGGATGCAACCAGGTGACTCTTTGCCGGGAAGCGAGACAAAGACAAGGAGAAGCAATGGGGCTGTCTGAGGTGGGGTGCCTGGCAGCTGGGCAGTCTGCTTGGGGGGACTGGAAGAGGCGGGGAGTCCAGGGTGTCTGGCCCAGGACTCCCCAAGATGGACTTGGCTGAAAGTCTCTGATTTCTAGGTTAACAAGCTCCGTTCTACGCCGTGTTCCTGTCCTCTAATAAACCTTCTGTGTTCCCGGCTGGCTGACAGTCATAGCTGGCTGCAGAGTCGGGGGGCAGGAGCCTGACCCGGGGAGGAATCGCTGCAGGAAGCGCACGGGGACGCTGAATGCTCCGGGGTCAGCCCCAGGAAGGAGGAAGCTGGGGCAGCGTCTTGCCCGGGCGACAGTCTGCTCCGAGACAGGAGGGTCCCCCAAAATCCTGTTCCAGAGCACAGCCCCCCATGACTCTGCAACACACGCGCCCCCCCGCCCGCAGCACGACACCCCCTGTAGCATGGCACCCTCCGACCATGCTCCCTGCAGCACAGCACCCCCCGAGCGCCCCAATAGCCCCCGCTGAGCCCCGCCGAGCGCCCCCTCTCACCAAGGATGCGGAAGATGAAGTGCAGTTGCTCCTCCACGGTGGAGCCGGGGAAGAGCGGGCGGCCCGTGGACATCTCGTAGAATATGCAGCCCACGCCCCTGGGGGAAGAGGCGCTGGGTTCAGGGCACCCAGAATTTGGTGGGGGGGGTCTCCCTGGCACAGCCCCCACCCAGTTCCCGTGGGTGCTCAGAGGCACGGCACCCCCACCCCAGCGCTACTGACAGCAAAACCACCTGGGCTGCAGGAGGGGACCTGCCCCCCACCAGGGCTGGCGTGGCCCCCCCCGGGCTGGTCTAAAGCACCAGAAGGGCGGGGGGGGGGGGGTGTCAGTGTCACTGAGCAGGCCCCACTGGACAGAGTGGGGTGGGGAGCTGGGGACTGCGTGGGGGATGGGGAGCTCCTGGGGGAGGGGGCAGCATTTCGGGTGTGGTATCCAAGCGGTCCCCACAAGGTTAGAGAGTCGGGGGGGGGGAGGGAAGAAGAGGCCAGGCCCGGATAGGGGAGCTGGACTGGGAGCAGGAGGAGAGGAAGGTGGTCCTGAAAGGGGGGAGGGGCAGGAGGGGGAGCAGAAGGGGGCTGGGGACTGGTATGGGGTGGGAGGAGAAGCGGCAGGAGGGCAGCAGCAGGTGGGGCAGGAGGAGGGTCCCAGGCCAGGCAAGCGTGGCACCAGCCACCATGGCACCCCCTGGCTCACCACATGTCGATCTGCGTGGAGTACTCGGTGGAGCCCAGCAGGATGTCGGGGGGCCGGTACCAGAGCGTCACCACTTCGTTGGAGTACGTCTTGGTGGGGATGGACTTGGCCCGTGCCAGACCTGGCATAGAGAGAGTGGGCTGGCACTGGAGGGCTGGGGGCCAGTCAGGGGGGTCTGGGGGTTCAGGGGCTCGCAGAAATTGGCCAGCTTAAACTCACCACACTCGTTGCTGAGCAGGTTCTGGGGGGGGGGGAGCTAAGGGGGCTCACCGAAGTCGGTCAGCTTGAGCTCACCCCGCTCGCTGATGAGCAGGTTCTGGGGGCGGGGGTGGGGGGTTGAGGGTGGTTGGGGGTTCAGGGGGGCTCTGGGGCTCACCGAAGTCGGCCAGCTTGAGCTCGCCCCGCTCGTTGATGAGCAGGTTCTGGGGTTTGAGGTCGCGGTGCAGCACCTTCTGGCGGTGGCAGTACGCCAGGCCCCGCAGTAGCTGGAAGAGGAAGAGCTGGGGGGGACGGAGAGACGCCATCAGCCTGGCCCTGGGGGGCCCCAGGAGCCTCCCCGTCCTCCCCACACTTACCTTGACATTGTGCATGTTGATGAGGTTGCCGCAGTCGTCCAGGTACTGCTTCAGGTCCTTGTCCTGCAGGAGCAGGGCAGGGTTAATGCCGCTCGGACGCCGGGGTCCCCCCGAGCCGCCCCCAGCCCCCCACTCACCAGGTACTCGAAGACCAGGGTCAGCGACTTCTCCGTGTGGATGATGTCGTGCAGGGTGACAATGTTGGCATGTTTCAGGTCCTTCAGCAGGGACACTGGGAGGTGGGGGGGGGAGGGGCAGGTCGAGTGAATCTCAGCCCCACAGACCCCTAGCCTGCTCCCCCCGGCACCCCTAGCCTGCTCCCCCCGGCACCTCCAGCCCGCTCCCCAGCCTGCCACCCAGTATCTCCGGTTCACTCCCCGGCCCACCTCCTGGTTCCTGGTCCCTCCAGCCCGCCTAACAACCTGTCCCCCAGTATACGCAGCCTGCCCCCTAGAACACCCCCCAGCCTGCTCCCCCTGGTGTCCCCCAGCACCTCCGGCCCACCTCCCAGCCTGCCCCCCTGGCACCCCCACAGCCTACTCCCCCGACACCTGTGACGAAGTGGGACTGTTCTTAATGTTCTCTCTGAATATGGTGTGGGTTCCTCAGTTTCCCCTAGGCAGTTCTTAAGTATCTAGGTGGGGGGATAAGTGGGTGCGACTGTTGCAGAGCCCTAGAGGGCCAGTGTGATGGGATCTGCACAGAGAATGGCCGACACCCTGTCTCTTGATGGCCTGGGCCCCCCCTGCAAGGTGCCAACTGAGGGGGTTGGAGAACAAAGAGATTAGGTGGCCTCCTGGCCCGGGGAAAGAGGCAAAGGCCAGAGGAAGGGCTGGAGGGTTTCAGTTTTGGAGCTGGCTGTGGGGGGAAGAGAGGGAGGCCCAGACCCGGGGTCTGACCGCCCTGGCCCCAAGACGGACCTGACTGAGGGGTCCTGTTCTCTGTACCTACAAGCTCTGGTTTAGACCATGTTCCTGTCAGCTAATAAACCTTCTGTTTTCCCCACTGGCTGAGAGTCCCATCCGACTGTGGAGTTGGGGGGCAGGACCCTCTGGCTCCCCCAGGACCCCGCCCCATGCGGACTCGCTGCGGGAAGCACACAGTGAGGCAGGGGAGGCTGAATGCTCCGGAGTCAGCCCCAGGAAGGTGGAAGCTGCATAAGCTTTGTGCCCTGGGGACAGTAGCTCCAAGAGAGAAGGGTCCCCCCGAGTCCCACCTGGCTTCGTAGGGAGCAGTTCCAGTGCATCGCCCCAGGGACTCCGTGACAGCACCCCCACAGCCTGTTCCCCTGCCTGCCCTCTGGCTTGTCCCCCAGCCCGCCCCTCGAGCAGGTACCTTCGCGGATTGCCGTGCAGGGCGCCCCCTCCTCGTGCTCCAGGCGGATTTCCTTCAGCGCCACCAGGTTGTCGGTCAGTTTGCTCTTGCCCTTGTAGACAGTGGCGTACGTCCCCTGTGGGGCAGTGAAGGCGGGGGGGACAGAACTGGAGGTCACAGCTGGGGGGCCCCTCCTGCCCCATCCCCTAACCAGCCACTTGCCCTCCTTCCCTGGCCCATGGCCCCCAGTCCAGCCCCCTGATCTCTTCCCCCTCACCCCCCCAGCCCTTCCCCCTCACCCCACAGTCCCATCCCCCATCCTCTCCCCAGCCCCATGGCCCAGCTCCTGGCCCCTCCCGCCCCCAGTCACTTTCCCCCTCCCCCGCCAAATCTCATCCCCTGGCTCAGATCTGGGGTGGGGCGGCATTAGGGTCAGGATTCCTGAGACAGAACCCCACCCACCCACCCCCGGGGCCCAGCTCCCACCTCTCCCAGCTTGTCCAGCTTCACGTAGGTTTCCAGCTTCCCGAAGCCGATCTCCGACTGCAGGCAAGAGACCAGCTGTGAGACGCCTGCCGGGGAGGGCTGGCTCCCAGCGGGGGGGGAATGGGGGGGCCGTGGGGCAGGGGGCCAGCTGTGGGGCAGCCAGGGGGCACCGTAGAGCAGGCAGCCGGCGAGGGAACACTGGGGGTGGGGGACTGGGGGGCAGGATGGGGGCACCATGGGGCTGGCCGGGGGACACGCGGGGGGCACCGGAGGACATGCGGGGGGGCGGGCTCTCACCAGCGAGACACGGCGCAGCCGCCGGCTGAGGGGCTGGTCGAACAAGGGGCTGTTCAGTGCCAGCTTCTCCAGGCAGCCCTCGGGCAGGCGGATGTCGGCCGGCAGCGAGAGCCGCTTGTTAATGTCCTGGGGGGTGCAGGGATGGGGGTCACGGGCACAATCAGCGACCACCCCCCCCGCCCTGCGGTCGGTGACCCCCTGCGACCTCTTCCCTCCACAGCCCTCATCCTCCCCCCGCATATCACCTCCACCCACCCCTGGATCCCTGACCCCCTCTCCCCACCATCCCCCCAACCCTCCTGCCACCCTCCCCCAGGATCTCGCCCCAGTCCCCTCGGAGCCCGGCCGCCCCCCCCACCTCAGAGGAGATCTTGCGGGCCGAGCTGTGGCGCATGCGGACCCGCACGGGGGACTGGACCTCGTCGGACGAGGTGCCGGACGCCTGGTCGCTCTCCCCGTCGGAGCCCATCTTCACGTCCTCCTGCACCATCTCTGGGGGCGGGCGGGAGGCAGAGCAGAGGGGGAGTTACCGGGACGACGGAGACCTCCAGCCGGCCCCCCCACAGCTCCCCCTGCCAGAGACCCCCCAACTGGCCCCCTCCACAGAACCCCCTGCCAGAGACCCCACAGCGCCCCCTGCTGGAGACACTGCACTGCCAGCACCCCAGCCAGCATCAACACACACAGCACTCCCCCCGCCAGCCCTCGCCACAGCGCCCCCTGCTGGAGGCCCCCACCCAGCCAGCCCTCGCCACAGCGCCCCCTGCTGGAGGCCCCCACCTCCCCCAACACTGCCAGGCAGCCAGAGGCAGCAAACCCAGGCGGGCTCAGCGTGCAGTGGCCAGCACACCCTGAAAGCGTCTGGAACTCTGAGAGCGACCCCCCAGGGCTCCCCCGCCGCTCACCCGCTGCCCCCGCGTCCTGCCAGCCCGGCTCAGCTGCCCACATAATAAAACACAAACCACAGCCACTGAAAGGGGGAGGGGCTGGTTACCCTCCCACTCCGTCAGCACTACAGCTCACGAGTTCCCCCCGCTCTGACCACTAGACCCCACTGCCCACCCAGAGACAGGAAGAGAACCCAGGAGTCCTGGCTCACAGCCCCCTCCACACTCTAACTCACTAGCCCCCATTCCTCTTTCCGAGCGGTGATCGGCTCCACAGAAGGGGAGCTGACTGGCTCAGGGGGGTCCCTGGGGTCTGCGCTGCCCCTCCATAGTCACCTAGTCGGCTGGCACGGGCGAGGTGGGCGCTCAGGCTGCGGGTCACGCCCGGGCGCGGCCGGCGCTGCAGGAAGGAATAGACGCTGCGCGAGGCGCCCCAGGGACGCCCGCTCTTCCCCGCCAGGCCTGGGGGGCACGAGACATGGGGCGCAGGGGAGCCCAGCCCACAAGAAGAGAAAGATTGGGGGAGGGGGGCAGTCACAGAGCCAGGGAAGAGGATGTGGGGGTTGGGTTGGGGGACCATATAGAGAGGGGAGTAGATGGGGGGGGGGCGGCACAGCTCAGGGGGGTGGGAGGATAGGGGGAGGGGATCAAACAGCCAGAGAAGGTGGGGGGGTAGATGTGGGGGAATCATGCAGCCCAGAGGAGGGGGGGGCAGATGCGGGGGGTTACAGAGCCAGAGGGAAGGGGGTGCGTGGGGGGTCCAGGTCACAGAGGTCACACAGCCGGAAGGGAGGAGGACAGGGCAGGTGGGGGGGCAGAAATTAAACACAGACAAAAAAGAAAAGAAAAAGAAAATGAAGAAACAAAAATACAACAGAACAGAAACAAAATCCGGGAGAGACCAGCGGGGGGGACGTACCCGTGGGGGAGCCATGGACACCCCCACACATCAAGCCAGAGCACTGGGGTCCAACCATCCCCATTCCTGAACTCAGCCCCCATCCTAATCCCGACCTCCCAATTAACCCTTCAAAGCATCAGTAATGCCCCCAGCATCCTGGCTCCCAGCCCGCCCTGCTCTAACCAACAGACCCCACTCCCCTCCCAGAGCCAGGGAGAGAACTGAGGAGTCCGGGCCCACAGCCCTGCCCAACCTGGCTCAAACACCCCCATTTGGGGCTTTGGTCAGGTCCAATGGATGTGAGACCCGACTGTCACACCCCTACAGCAAAAGTGGGATGGTATATTCCACCTGGCCATTGGCCACCTCTATGGAGCCCACCCAATCGCTGCCTAGGCTGGTTCCCAATTGGGCCACCAGCAATGGAGAGGGTGGGGTGAGGAGGGAAGAGGAGGCAGCCTTTAAAGGGACGGCCATGCCCAGAGACCACCACATAGGCACAGCCAGGGAGGTCTTAAAGGGGCAGCCACATCCCCGGACCCTTTAGGAGTCCATCACACCAAGGGACGTCTTAAAAGGGCCATAACACCCACAGGGAATGTTAAAAAGACAACCATGCTCAAGTAACACCTTAAAGGGGTGGTTATGCCTGCAGAAAGCCTTAAAGGGGTGGCCTTGTGCACAGACCCCTTTAAGGCACCGTCTTGTAAGTGGAACACCTTAAAGGGGCGGTTAATGCCTCCAGGCCCTTTAATGTCTTAAAGGTGCTCTCACAGCAAGAGCCAGCTTAAAGGGAAGGTCTCAGTCCGGATCTCGTCCACACCCAGCACAGAAAGGTCTCATGGCAAGGCACCGGAGTGGGCGGAGCTGCCCCGGGCACCAGGATCCGCAGCGGGCCCGGCTGGGGGAGGGGCTCACCGGTGTCACTGCTGTTGTTCTCCTCGATGTTGATCTGCTCATTGAGGTTCTTCTCGGCCGTCCGGCTCCCCCGCAAGGTCATTGAGAGCTGCCTCTTGATCTTCTTCATCCGATCCATGGTGGGGCCGCTGCACAGAGGGGAAAGGACACCACAGCCTGAAACACCAGATCAGGTACACAAGGAGGGTTGCCCTGGTTCTGGGATGCAGTCACCTCTGGGGCAGGGCAGCTGGGGAACAGCCACACATAACGCTGCACAGGGAGGGCTGCCCTGGTGCTGAGATGCAGCCACTTCTGTGGCGGGGCAGCTGGGGAAAAACTCTAGAGGAAAGAGTCTAAGGAAATGTACTAACCATGAGCCCCCTACCCTGCTCCCCGGCTAAGGGCCATGCCAAGCAGAGGTCGCTCGGGGTCGGGGCCGGGGCTATGCACGGAGTCGATGCTCCCACCCCAGCATGTGTCTCACGTTACACCCCGGGAATGGACAACCCGGATGGATTAGTCACCCCGCAGCATGGCTATCCAGCCAGTGCTCCCCACATCAAACCCAGGGGTCAGCTGGTCTGATGCCCCCTCACATCAGACCCATGGGACAGCCAGTGACCCCCCAGATCAGACCCTACAGGTCAACCAGCCAGTGCCCCCCGAATCAGCCCTACAGGCGAGCCAGCATGGTGCCCCCCCCCGCCCGGTATCAGACTCATGGACCATAGGGAACACCTGGGGGTGGGGTTGGACCCATATGTCTCCCACAAAGGGTCAGCTGCAGGGGGACTTGGGGTGGGGCCCTCACCAGGAAAGGGGCACAGTAGCTGATGGGTGGAAGGACTGAAATGCTGCCCCATTAACTCTGAAGACTAGCGATGGCTCACAGGCCATTTGATGTTACTATGGCGATGTCTGAACAGCTGACTCTGGGAGGAGCTTGGGGCATGTGGGAGGAGCCAAGGTTAGTGTGAGAGGCTTGGGATTCTGGAAGGAGCCTCTGGCAGGGGGTCAGCTCCAGGAGGGTTACTGACAGCACAGAAGGGGTCCCAGGATGATCCCAGCAGTTGGATGGTCCCACGGTGATGGTGAATTAGCAAAGTGTACTTGCTGCCATCAGTAGGCTCCAGGAGTAACGCCCAGCTGTGACACCGGAGGCAGTTCACATCCCTCCAATTGGTTGGGGGCTGGAGAAATACCCACAGTCTCCAACTGCTGCTCCACTGTCAGTACATGGGGGAAGGATCCGCCACAGATGAGGGCAACAGTGGGTGAAAGTACAGAGAAGCACAGGATGGCAATAGCCAAGCATGGGGCTTGGCAGGGGGCTGTGGGGTGGGGGACTGGGCAGGGGCACTCTCCCCTGGCAGGCAAGACCGGGCGCTGGGGGGGTGCTGCAGCGAGCAGGGCAGGAGGCACTCCCCCCGGCAGTCATGGCTGGACTCTGGGGGACACCATGCTGTGGGGCAGGGGGCTCAGGAGGAGGTGCTGTCCCCGGGCAGTAGGGCCGGGCACTAGGGGCACCGTGCTGTGGGCAGGGGGCTCAGCAAGGGGCGCCTCCCCCTGGAAGGCGGGGCCGTGCTGCAGGGAGCTGGGCCGGGACTCAGCAGGGGGCATTCTCCCCCAGCTGCCAGCGCTGGCCCCACTGGGGGGTGACTCAGGCCGCCTGCTTCCCCTTCCTTCACCATATGGAGGTATCCGCAGAATCCTTTTGGCTTGAGCCACCTGCTGGGGCCAGGGCACAAATCCAGCCCCATGCAGCCTTGCCCCCCAGCACACAGGGCACCTACCGCACAGGCTTATGCCAGGCCAACCCCAGCCCAGGGCTACTGAAGCACCTGGCAGCTCACCTGTCCTGGCAGGGAGTGGGGTCTATGGTTAGAGAGGGGGCTGGGTTCTCTCCCTGGCTCTGGCAGGGGAGTGGGGGCTAGTGGTTAGAGCAGGTGGGGGCTGGGAGCCAGGACTCCTGGGTTCTCTCCCTGGCTTTGGGAGGGGAGTAGGCTCCAGTGGCTTTGCACCATCTACCCATCACTGCCCTTTTGTGGGGGACTTTGAGGGGGACCTGAGCAAGCAGCAGCCCCTTCCCCTCACTCCCTGTCCCCTCTAGGTGCTCCCAGCTGGCACAGGTGAGGAGATAGCTCCACATACACCCTCCCTCCATGGCTCTGGATGCCCACAGGGGTCCTGTGAGCAGAGCCGGGTGCAGGCTCAGCCCCGGATACGGGCAGGGGAAATGCCAGAGCCCGGCTCAGGTCCCCCCGACCTTATTCTTATCCCAGACCCACCTTGGCCACCAAGCCCCAGCTCTGGGACTCCCAGGAGCAGGGGGGCACCAGCAACAAGCCACCTCCATCACCCAGAAAGGACTCGAGGGGGCGGCAAGGCCAGGGGGAGGGGAGTTTGACTGAGCTGGCTTCCCCCGCAGCCCTGCTGGTGCCCCTCACTCCCGCCCCGCACCCCCTGCTAGCCCACCCCTGGCTCCCTCCACACACACACATCCAGTGCCCCTCACTCCCACCCCGCACCCCCTGCTAGCCTACTCCTGGGCTCCCCTCACTCCCACCTCCAGCTCCCCACCCCTGCAGTGCCCCTCCACACACACCCTGCTAGCCCAGCCCTGGGCTCCCCCTCCCAGCTGTCCTGGGGGGCACATCCAGTGGGTCAATGGTCCAATCCAAGGAGCACCTGTCTCCACAATTACCCCCCCCCCCCGCCCCAGTGGCCAGGAGCACCCCCCCACCCCAGCAGTAAAAGGCCAGAGATGCGGGGCGCATGGATCCTACTGGTCAGCCAGAGGGAGGAGGCCCAGGTCTCGAAGCCGCAGCTACAGACACCGTGGGGGGGTGAAGCTGGGGGGCTGCCTGGGGAGCGACTCACTGAGCTATTAATACCTCCTGGGACCAACTGACCTACCGTGGGGGGCGGAGCCCGGGGCAGCAGCCCAGGGACTGGGGGGAGGTAGACCTGCCCTTTCAGAAGAGGGAGGGGCCATGCAGGGAGACAGCTGCCCCCCAGACAACCCAGCACCATGCCCTGGACCAGCCCCCGGGAGCCCCATGCCTCCAACCCCCCCATTCCCACCACCCCAAACCCCCCATCCACGCCCATTCAGGGCCCCAGACCTCTGAACCCTCCAAGACCCCCAGCCCCCATCCATCTGACCCCTCAGCCCCATCCCCCGAAAGATACCAAATCCATCCCCTAGACACTGCCCCCCCCCCGAGATACCCCTGGACCTGACCTCCATCCCAAGAGCCCCATCTCCTGAGCCAACCTCCCCACAAAGATCTTCCCCCACCCCCTCACACCCGCTTCCTTCAGCCCATGGACCCAGCCCGACAGCCTCCCCCCCCCCCCCCCAGCAAAAAAACAACCAACACTAAGATCCCCTGGTTCAGACCCTGCCCCCAGACCTCACCCAGTCCTCAGCCATAAACCCTCCCCCCGCATCCTACCTTTTCTCCAGCCACAGAGCCCCTTCCCCTCCCCAGCACCACATGGGCACTGGAGCCAGGGTAGTGCCCCGCTCCCCGCAGCATTGGGGGGGCAGGCAGCCAGGACTCCTGGGTTCTCTCCCCAGCTCTGGGGGGAGGGGGAGTGGGGTCAAGTGGTTGGGGGGAAGGGGGGAGAGCCAGGACTCTGGGGCTCCGTTCCCAGCAGCTGGCACCAGGTCACACTCCCCCCGAGCTCTCTGCCGGAGAGAGGCGGCCCCAGGGACGAAGGCCAGGACACCAGGCATCCAGTCCGTCTGAGGCGAATGCCGGGGGTCAGACAGAGCGGGGGGGGGGGGGGGGGGCGCTACCAGCACCAGTCAACCGGGTCTGATTGGGGGCGGTAAGCAGCCTGGTCAGGCTCTCAACTCCCCGAGTCAGCCATGCCACAGCCAGCCCTTCCAAGGGGCAAGGACGGGGTGCGACAGGAGCCCCCCCAACTCCCAGACTGATCTGCTTGGAAGGGTCAATCTGCCAGGCCGCTGCCCCCCACTCCAAGACACCAGCCAAGCAGGAGGCCCCGGATCTGCCTGCCCGCCCACCCAGGGGACCCTGGGGTAGGGCGAGGGGGCCCCGGATCTAGCCCCCTCTCAGACACTCCCAGCCTGTGCAGTGAGCATGAACCGTGGGACAACAGCCCCGCACTGCAGCCCCCAACTGTGCCCCTCCCACTGCCCCCCAACGCACCCAGTCCCACATGGTGGGACCCTATCCAAGGAGCATCAGCTACCACAGGCCCACAAGCCAGCCTGGGTCATGTCCCGCCCCAGCCAGAGCCAGCCCCCCACAGCTTGATATAGACCCCTTGATCAGCGCCCCCCCACCACCACCACCACACACACACAGCCCGATCCAGCCCCCCCCCCCCCCCAGCTCAGCCCCCACACTCAAAATAACCGCATGACTTAGATTTAACTCAGGCTGGGGCCTTTGCAGTGAACTAATCCCATCTGGGGGGGACCCCAGATGCCAAACCCCCACTTATTCCCAGGGGTCAGGCGTACACAAATCCAGCCTTGTCCATCTCCCCCCAGCACATGGGAGAGGGGGGTAAAGACGCCCCCCCTTGCTATCCCCCCAGGATTCCTGCATTCACTCACTGAAGGGAAAAAGCCAGGAATCCCCCTCCCCACTACCAAGATCCACCCCAGACATGGGGGTGGGAATGTCCACCCACCCACACACACCCTCACTGCAGCGACCAACCCCGCACATCCCTCCCCGCCCCCCACACAGGGGGAGCGACCCCTCCGCCTGTCCCAACACATGCGGGAGTGGGAGCAATTCCCCCCCCCTTTCCCCAGATTTAGCCTGACTGCACAGGGATCTGGTGAGTGGAGAGATCCCAGGGATCTCCCAAAATGGATTCCAGCAACCCGTCTCTCACTCTGCCCTCGCCATGCTGGGGGAAGACACAACACGCCACTCCCCAAATGTCCTGGATCTATTCCAGACACCCGATCCCCTTCCCACTGTATCCCCTGGGTAGATGACTGGTGTGAATTCCCCCAATGAGCCGGAAGCGAGTGCAGAGGGATCCATTGATGTGGCTAGATCTGTAGTGAGAGGTCATAGTGGATCACAACTGCGGGAGCTCCCCAGACCAGCTAGAGAACATGGTGGGGGCTCACCCCAGATTATTCTCCTTCTGCAGAGACCAGAGCTAGATCTCCGAGGCAAAGAGCCTCAGTAGATCCCTTCTGGGACAGAACCAGTGAGAGGGGAGCAGAGCGAAAGATACCCAGAGTGACAACCCAGACTAGATCCCCCCGACACCAACAAAACAGGACGCGCAGATCCCAGAAGTGAGAGTAGATGCCCAAACACTGAATAATGGGGAGAGGGATACAGTAGGTGTAGCAACAGTCCCAGGCAATCAGGGCAAAATAGATTGCCAGCCTAATAGAGTGATCTAGTGAGGGCCGACTCCCAGGGAATGTCACACGGGATCTGGGACCTGGGGGTCCGAGTGGTTTCCCAGCCCAAAAGAAGTGCGTAGATCTCCACAAGGTGACAGGGGATTTAAGAATGTGAAGATCCCTGCAAGAGTTAGCAGGAGGGGTAGATCCTTGCAGGGAGGTCAGGGTAGATCCCTGGGGGTCACAGAAGGATCCCTAGGCCAAGGCATAGAAGAACAGAGGAATCCAGTGTGGGTAGATCCCAATACCAGAACATAGATTCCGGAATGGCAAAAGTCACCATGGTTCCCCCAGTCCATTAAGGGCTGGGATCTGAGTGATACAGTATGAGTATATCCCATGAAAATAACGACAGGTAGATCCCAGATGTTGCAGCAGATCCCCCAGCCAATGGGAAAGCAGAAGATTAATCGCTTTTAGGTGCACTTCATTAAGTGGATCACATAGGACAGCAAAGGTGGGTAGATCCTAGGGTCAGAGATCACAGGGGCTACCAAGTCTGGTAGAGAATCCCATGTGAGTGGATCCCATAAGTTCAGAAATCATTACAGACCCCTAATGAATGGGGAAGGTGCAGAGGGGGATCCAGTGCATGCCGATCTGGTGTAGCTCGGTGGGTAGATCCCATGGGTCACAGTTGATCCACCCCAGTCCCAGAGGAGGGAGAGAAATTCAGTGTGAGTTGACCCCATGGGACCAAGAGGGTGGATCCCGGGCACCCAGTGGACCCCAGCCCGATGGGACAGAAGATCCGTGGGATAAAGGGGGTGCCGATCCCATGGGACCAAGTGGCTGGATCCCAGGCACCCAGTGGATCCCAGCCCGATGGGACAGAAGATCCAGGGGGTGCCGATCCCATGGGACCAAGTGGGTGGATCCCGGGCACCCAGTGGATCCCATCCCAGCGGGACAGAAGATCCGTGGGATCCAGCGGGTGCCGACCCCGTCGGGCTGCGGCGGGTGCCCGGGTCCCAGTGGATCGCCAGGCCCCGCCCCACGGGGTGTCTCTTACCCTGGCTGCCGCTGCAGGGGGCTCAGCGCTGCTGCTGCGGGTCCCAGTAATCCTCAGCCATGGCCGCCGGCTCGGCCGCCCGGGGCTCGGCTCCCCTCAGCCGCCCATGGTCCCCCAGAGCCCGGCGAGAAAGGGGATCCGGGGGGGGGGGGGTGCGCACAAGTCTCCTCCCAGCGAGCGGCGCCTCCCCCTCCGTCTAGGCCACCTCCCACCCTGCGACTGGCTCGTGCCGGCCCCCGGCCCGGCCTTCCCCCTTCCCTGCGGGACGTACCACGCCGCGCACCACGGGAGGGCCACACGCAGGGAGCACTCAGGGGCAGGCCGAGCCCATCCCCGACGGTGGGAGAATTAGGGATTCGCAACCCCCATACCCCTAGGGGCTGGTGTTAAACTAAGAGGGCAAAAAAGGTGGAAGAAGGCAATCACCCCCCCTCTTTTTATTTGGTACAGTCTCAACTGGAACGGCCCGGGAGGGCGCTACCATTACTGAGAGGGAGGACCGCCCTGAAAGCGAAGCTCTAATCCCCCTGCTTTACGGGACCCGCGGGGAGAGATCAATAATATATGAAGGGATATTATGACGCATTAATTAAATAAGCAGTCTGATGAAGGGAGCCCAGTAGCCAATCGATACTAACCCCCCCGTTTTTAGAATGGTACTTTCTCAACCGTCTTCTGTTTCCTCAATGGAAAGGTCCCCAACGGCCTTCTCCTCCCATGGGGGCTGTACCATTATAACCAGCAGCGGGGGGAGGCAATGACAGGCTTTTTCTACCTGGCAGCCAAACAGAGCCACAGTTTCATTCTCTATGTGCATCTCTAGCCTATTGAAGCACAAAGAGGAATATGGAAAGCGGGATAAGCCCTGTACTGGCCGGCTCTATTCCTCCCCACAATCCAGAGTGAGCTCGCCCGACCTCTTCTCTCGTAGCTGAGAGGATGGGCGATACCATTCAAAATAAGGGTGTCCACTTATATAATGGGACTGGGCCATAGAAACAAAGGGAATTTAAACCAGGATGTGTAACTCAATTAACCACAAGATGTAATTACAGGTCTGAGAGATGGGGAATTAAAAGGGCTGAGGAGCAGGGAGTCTCCATTCTCCCCTCCTACTCAGGGAAGATAATGGTTTGACCCATTGAGAGGGGCTGGAGCGGTTGGGCGCTACCACAGAGCAAAGCGGGAGGGGGATATTTATATATCTGGACTCCAACATTTATAAACTATAAAAGAAACCAATGTATAACTTTTTCAGAACCCTATTTAAATATTAGCACTTGAACAAAGGGGTTTGGGTGAGAGGGGGCGTAATACATGGTCACACATAGAGGTTGATAATGGTTTAATCCGCAGACAGTACTGCACAACCGTTGGCCGCTACCATAAATAAAAACGAGGGGAGCAGATTAGAAAATAGGCTTCTACCAAAATAAACAGAGTAAGAGTGGCTCAGACGGGATTTATGTCAATTTTCAGGTGCCCATTTAACACCGAGAAGCGGGGTGAGAAGAGGGGAGGCGAACCCCTTGGGGGTTAATAATGGTGTAGCCCGCGACCGTTGGACCCTACCATTAAACGCAATGGCGGGGTTCCATAAAAACGGGGAAAAGGGGGGTTAGAGAGGTGGACTATCCCTCCATTGTCCCTAAACACCCCTCCACCCCACCCATCCCCCATTATCCCCAAACACCCCTTCCCCCATTACCATCATACAGGACACCCCTCCCCCACCCATACCCACATCACCCCAAACACCCATCACCCCTCCCCCACCCTATCATACAGCACGCCCCTCCCCCACCCATACCCCCATTATCCCCATACCCCCATCGTACAGGACTCCCCACCCATCATCCCCAACACCCCCCCCCATCCCTGTCGCACCAGCCCCCCATTATCCCTGCACACCCCTCCATCCATCCACCCGTCTCTCGATTCATCCATCATACACCCATCACCAAACATCTGTCCACGTCTCCATCCCCATCCATCCATCCACCCCGCTACCCAATCCATCCATCCATCCCCACACACCTCTCCAGCCATCCCTCCATCCTACACCTCTCCATCCCCAGACACCCTCCTTCCATCCCTCTATCATACACTCCTTCCATCCTTCCACCCCCACACTGACTCACTCGTCTATCCCCAGACATCCTCCATCCATCCAATCCCCCATCCCCAAACACACCCCTTCCTCCTTCCATCCGTCTCCACACACATCCATCTGTCTGTACAGCGCCTGGCGCGACGGGGCCCCAATCTTGGTAGGGGTCTAGGCAGCGCCCAGCACGATGGGACCCTGATTTTGGTCGGGGTCTGGGCAGCACCTGGCGCGACAGGGCCCCGATCTCGGTCAGGGTCTGGGAAGCGTCTGGCACAACGGGGTCCCAATCTCGGTTGAGATCTGGGCAGTGCCCAGCATGATGAGGCCCTGATCTCGGTCGGGGTCTGGGAAGCGCCTGGCACGATGTGGGTCCCTGATCTCAGTCAGGGTCTGGGCAGCGCCTTGCACAACGGGGCCCTGGTCTCAGACGTGGCCTATAGGTGCTATTTCAATGCAATGACTCACCCTATAGAGTCCGTAACAGAGCAGGGAATGAACCCAGGAGTCCTGGGCTGTCTCCCAGAACCTGCTCTCCTGGCCCTTCTCATCAGTCTCTAGAGATCTTTCCCTTCCTAGCTGAGTCCCAGAGCCAGCGATGCCGCGGCCCCCGGACCATATGGCCGTGCACTGCAGGCTGGCCAGAGCGGGCATCTGTTCATTGCTGTCCCGTTGCTGTAGCTGGCATCAGGTTGGCGCCCCTGGTGCCACCTTTATACACATCCCGTATCACAATAGATAAGCAGGGCGGGGAAACACCCAGGGCTTTGGGGAGGGCTGTGCTGGAGCCCTTCCACTGCAGCAAGTGATCCCCTCGCTGCAGAGCTTGGAGATGGGATACCGGGCTAGATGAGCTCATGGCTCTGATCCAGGGAGGTGGGGGAGGAGGGGATACCAGGCTGTGAGAGGGCACCAGTTTTCAAAAATGGCAAGTAAGTTTCCAAAAGTGGCTCGTAATTTTTTTCAAAAGTGTCTAGTGACGTCAAGCACCTTCTATGGTCCTGATTTTAGGGGCTTTCTGAAAACCAGGCCCTCTTTAAGGCATTACACAGTGGGCAACTACAATGATCCAGGCCCTCCAAAATTGCTAGATGCTTTTGTAAATCTTGAAGCCAAACAAACCCAGTCTCCTACCCTCGAGAATGCATAGCCACCACAGCCTAAAGTTTCAAAAGTGGTTAGTACATGTACAAAATTGACTAGCAAATATTTCAAAAGTAGCTAGTATTTTTCTCCAAAAGTTGCTAGCAAATGTCCTAGAAATTATTCGCAAAAAGAAAAGGAGTACTTGTGGCACCTTAGAGAATACAGACTAACACGGCTGTTCCTCTGAAACCTAGAAATTATTAGTGCATTTTCAAAAGCGGCTAGCATATTTTTCAATAGAATATTATATTTTCAATAATGATTAGTGGCTATTTTAACATGTCTAGCACATTTTCAAGAGTGGATAGTATTTTTTTTAAAGGAATAGTAAATTTTGAAATGTGGTGCTAGTCAGGTTTTGAAAATGGCTGGTCAGGTTTTCAAAGGTGGCTAGTACATTTTCAAAAATGACTTAGTAGATATTTTAAATGACAAGAGAGTTTTCAAAAGTGGCTAGTAATCTTTTTTTTAAATGACTTGTCAATTCTCAAAAGTGACTAATGCACTTTCAAAAGTGCCTAACATATTTTTCAAGAGTTGAGTACATTTTCAATTTTAAATGGCTAATACATTTTCAAAAGTGGCTAGTTAACTTTTTCAATGACCAGTACATTTTCAAACAGTGGCGCTTGTCAGGTTTTGAAAATGGCTGGTCAGTTTTCCAAAGGTGACTAGTGCATTTGCGGAAGTGGCTAGTCAATTTTTTTCAAGTGGCTAGTTCATTTTTTAAGAGACTAGTCCATTTTCCCAAAGTGGCTACTACATATGTCAAAGTGTCTTATGACTTCCAGTGCCCTGATTTCCATCTCTCTCTGACAACCATTCCCCTTTATAGACATTTCATGTTGTTCACCCCAAATCCTGAGTCACTCGTGCATGTGTCAGGCCAGGATTTTTGGCTGCTTGATGTGACAGTGGCTACAGGGCTAATACCATCAGTCACCATCCATTACTCCCGATCCTTTCTTGATTCCTCTCACCCATCCCTTCCACGAATAGGCCACACTTTCAAAGACAACTGGAGCAAACCTGTTTTTAAAAAGCAAATCACCATTGGCCTGGGGAACTCCCTGCTACAGGAAAAAAACTGAGCAGGGTTCCAAGAAGGTATTCAGCTGGACAGAGAGAGAGAGACGTCTGGGTTAGCGCGGGTCTGTCTGCCTGGGAATGTGTGCGTTCTGTGCATCTATAAGCTACATCTCCCAGGGGCAGCCCTTCCACAAAATTGTGTTCATTTCCATTCCCCATTGCCCGCTGTCGATTTCCCTGTGTCCAGCCACACCGCCCTTTTCCTCCCAATTCCAAGCGTCTGCCTCTGATTTCCAGATTCCCTTACATTCAACAACCACTGCGCGCTCAGCCAGCGAGGGCCCGTGATGCCGGATGTTCTACGGCTTTAGTCTGGGTCCCAAAGACCTCTGATCGGGGTGATTGCCGATCCCGTGCAGCCGGGTGAATTGTGCACGGCTGCGTGGCCAGTGGCACCAGGCCTGACCTCAAGTCCGATCTTCAGAGCCCAGCAATTGCACTGATGCATAGGGCTTTTGCCCTAACATTCCCACTCCTTCCTTCCTTCCCCCCCATCTCTTTTCAGCTCTTCTCCTGACGAAAAGGCACCGGAAAGGCTCCACCCACACCTCCAGGGGAGGGATTAGCCCCAGTTTGCAGACGGGAAAACTGAGGCATGGGGCAGCAAAGTCTGGCAATCTGGGCCACCCCTGTCCATCCCCAACCTTCACGGAGGGAACGGGATTGGCCTCTGTTGTCCTCAACGCGTCCATCCCCCGCGCTGCTCAGCATTCAGATAATTGACTCCAATCCAATCTCAGGGCTGCATGGGTCAGGAAGGTTCCTCCCTCCCGATGCCCGCTTGCCCAGATGACTTCTGAGTTGTGTAGTCGCCTTCCTCTGAAGCACCAGAGATTCTCCACAGTTAGAGATGGAACAGTGCTCTCTGAGCCACTCCAGAGAACC